CTTTTGAATTAATTAATATGTTGTTATTATTATAAAATAAAGAATGTTTACGAAAGAATTGATTTTCTATTGGAATCACTCCTATATATTACACTGTAAACATGTCCTTCCAAAAGAGAATGTTAGTTTCTTTTGCAAGTTTATCAAAGAAATGTTTTCCACAGTAAAATCTTTTTGCATATTTATTTTGTCGTAAACAATACCTTTTCGAACTAGCATTTGAGATTCTTTTAAACCATATTATTTTTAATGCCATAATAAAGGCAGAAATATTGATCATCTGCAAGTCGCCTTCAGCATAGTGTGTTTACAATAACGGAAGATTTAAACTATGTAATCATAAAATATTTTATTTAATACATTGATTACATCTTCAGAAGTGTTTGGAGGTGAAATAAATTAATGATTTAAAGATGAGATCAAAAGAGATTATATAACAACAATTTTACCTATTGGTGTGAGAATTCTTCTTTGCCAATTTTGAATAACCTTTCGATATTTTCTATTTTTTCGCTATTGTTACATTTATGACTTTATTTAAGTCATTCCCCAACATGAAAATTTATGCCTAACATTTATTTTAAAATGATGTTGATTCCATCTTGTTTTCTATACTTTTTATGAGAATATTTCATTTTTCAGTTAAAAAAAGACAGAATATTCTGTACAAAAGATCAAAAGAGTAAATCAAAAGCTTTTTCAAAATCTATTGAAAGGAAAAGTCAAGGGATGTCATTTTCTTTAGTGTACTGCATAATATCATAAATAAGACGGATATTTTCTCCAATGTATCTTAAAAACATGTTTGATCTTTATTTATTAGTTTACTAGAGTAGGTTTTAACCGATTTGCTATGCAACCTGCAGCAATTTTGTATACCGTATTTAGAAGTGTTATACGTCTCCATTTTTTACGAATTGTTAAGGTTTTTTTTTTGTTTTTAGAATACATGCTATTTCACCTTGTGTTCGGGTAACTGACAATTTATTTGAAGTATATGCATCATTGAAAGCTTTTACAACAAAAGGACCTAAATCTTTTTCAAATATCTTATAAAAATCTGCACTGAAGCCTGACGGGCTTTTGTTATTTGCCATATTTTGTACTTTATTAGCTTCTTCAAAACTTATATAGCCTTCTTATATATTGGATTCCAATATTCACTTAAAACCGGTCCACAAATTGTAAAAATTGATTATTTGCATCATATGACATTTTGCTGAAAAGATTTCTATAAAAAATCACTTTCTTTTAAAATTAACTTTTGATCATTTAGAATATTACCGTCATCTTTTTTAATCTTATATATAGTCTTAGTTATGTGACTATGTTTTACTCAACCGCAAAAACAAAATGTTGAAGGTTTTCCTCCTTCTAATGTGACCTTATAAGATAACCTTGAAGCTGAATATTAAGATCCTTTCATTTTGCAATTTTTGAAATCGGTTACGTTTATCGTCTTACAAGTTTGATTCAATAGCATGTATTTCATTTATTATACTTTTTTCATCATTTGTTTCTTTAGATAACTGCTGTAAGATATAGCTGTCCCTCTCGGTACCATTAAAAGTGATTCTAAAAACAACTTGTCATTTATCATAAGCTGAAGTTCATCATTTCGATATATTAAGGTTACATATGGACCAAAAAGATTTCTCTGATCAATATTTTGTAATCAGATTTCTAGCTCTATTATTAAGTACAAATTTATAGTTGTATTTTTTTTTTCAGAATCAGAAACTAAGTTAAAATTGCCAGACAAGATATAAGAATCGTTTCCTATTCTGTCAATGATACCAAACAGTTCGCTGATCTGTATTTGGACCGTAAAGATTTATAAGGATAAATCTTTTCCCTCAATAGTTATGTCTAAAACAATAAATTTTCCTTTATTATCAATGTGTTTGCTGTGATTTTTATATTCAATAGTTTTTTTTTTTAAATTGCAACTGGAACTGGATGTCCCTTGACTAAGGAAACATTTACTATTCAGTTCACAGTATATATTTTATACATATTTAACGTTAAGTGAGTATTTTGTAAATACTGCATTTTTTCTGCTTCAAACATTTAAAACCGTCAAGACCTCTACAATTCAAAGATAGGATATTTGGGCTACTTGCATTCACCTAAATGTATTTTTGCAAACGAAAATACATGTTTCAAGAAGGGTTATGTGAACACACCACACAACAAATCAAAAAATCATTTCTACATACATAAACAAATACAGGCAAACACACACATATAAACAAAATTAATATAGATAGGACAATTTTTACACTCTAAAACATGAGAATAAATAAATCACTGATACACTGGGTATATTTTTCGTTTTGTTTAAAAAGCAAAAAAATGTTACAGTAAAAACAACAGATAGCTCGACTATTATTCTTGTTATTTTGTGTATAAACAAGCCCTTGAAATATTCAGTCTTTTAAAACAAGAATAATTAAGTTGAAATAAATATAACATATATTTAAAAATGATTTGAAAAATCGAGCTTAACTTAAGATAGAAGCGTCTTTTTCGACTACAGTTGTATATATTCTTCAACAACTATTATAAGCAATGCATTGCGGTCAACAAGAAATATTCTAAGTGTATTCGATTATTAAACTATTAGTTAACTGTAAGCAAAATATTTTGTTCCATGGTAAAGAAACCTATCTTCATGTTACGCTTGCAACAAATGTCATGTGTGTTATTTAATTGCGACGGTGTTGTACCTTAGGTGACTACGCAATATCTGTACTATATTTGTTTTAAAATGCCAATGCTACGAGGAATGAAATATTTTTACATACCTAGCCACAACTCTCCATCAACATTCCCAAAGCCATTCTCATATTCTGTAAAATTGCGATAAAAGTCCACTGACCCGTCCATTCGCCTATGAAATATCTAGAAGAAATGCAAACATGTTGAGCGCTTACACATTATGTATATGATTATTACTCAAAAATATACTAAGTGTGTGCCTGTTAAACGTCAGTTTTATAATGCTAAGGGTTAATGATCACTTCAAAGGGAAAGATGGACTAAAGTCCTTAATCTTTAATTTGCTGTTTGGAATAGACCTTTTGTACTTCTTAACATGATCTTATCTGACCTATTACAATTGTCTCATTGACTTAAACGTTAAATACGTGGTTGTGCTTTTCTGTAGACAGTGAAATAATTTCAGAGTGAAATTATAAAATATAATTTACCAAGCAACCAGACTATATTTGAGTACGGATGCAAAGAATGCATTATATATTAGTGTGGAAATATCGTAACAGATACACTCTGTGGGAATTGTTGTTATACGAGAATTTAAACAAACAAATATTCTCTGCGAAAGTATGCCCGGAAATTGGAATAAAATAAAATTTGATATTGACGTCTATTTGGCACCATTTAACTGGTTATTCGTACTGAACAAAAGCGCATCATGAATTAAATAAATGTTAAAAAGGAAATGTTTTTCCAAATATATTTCAACAATTTATCATGTGAGAATGTAAACCAGGAAAGAACAATTTGTTAATTTTCTAATTAAAGAATCTACATACCGTCCAACCTCCGCCATCTGTATCCATGTCACAATTCACAGTCAGAATCTTACCAGATATCCATAGTTCTATCTCATATTGTCCACTTTTCGCCTCAGGAAATTTATCAAGGACTTCTTTACAATCACTTGGTACTACGCAAAGAACAGAAAACTGTATAAAGTTTAAAGCAATTATAGTGCCAATGTACCTACCAGTATCAACTACCAAAAATACATAGTAACAATAGATTCATCAATATACAAACATGTACGGACATCATCCAATATATCCCTGATCTGTCTGTTTATATTTGGATAAAAATGCCATTTATTTGCATTAGCATATATGTAGATGTTTTTAAAGACCATCTCGCCTTTAAGGCAACTTACATTTTACCATCATTGCTAATTTTAATGAAATATTAAAGTAAGAAAAGAACAATCGTATTTAAATACGTTACATTTACACGTTGCAAGCTGCCATTTTCCTGAAGCCTCACATTTCACCTCTTGTTGACTGGGAACATAATATCCTTTGTCACATTTCACTAGAGCTATGTCGAGGAACTTGTTTTCGCCAGGCGCACTTATCTGTACTTTACCATTTTCAATTTTCTGATCCGAAGCACAAGCTGAAAATATAATAATAATAATAATAATAATAATAATAATAATAATAATAATAATAATAATGATGATGATGATGATGATGATGATGATGATGATGATGATGATGATGAGGAGGAGGAATAATCTAATAAATAGTTAATACTTTACAAAAGCCCATTTCTGAATGATCATTTTCGCAAATAAAGCGATTCACGTTTTTTTTTTCAAATCAAGTGTCAAGTGTGAAATGTGTTTTATTTTTTTCTATTATTCTGTTTTTGCTTCTTTTGTTTATCTTATTCTTTTATATTAATACACAAACGTTTCAGTAGGGCGGATTTATAAGTACCCGCTACCTGGTATGGAACATAATTTTGCAAATGTCATCAAAGACAATACTGTTTAGCACACAAAAGTATTGCGTAAGTATTTCTTGAAAAATTATACACCACATTTAATTAAATAACAAATAAAAATGTAATAATAAAAGTTTTACGAACTTATGTCTTTGCATTCATGTGAAGGACCATTTCGGTAACATCTTTGGTTCACTTTACACGGCCTTGAGCCACAACTTCCAACCATTCTCTATAAATAGAAGAAAAAAATATAAGACCATTGCCTGTAAATAGAAAGAAAGAAGTTACATCAATAATTGCTTTGTTGAATTATTTAGAACTATTAAAATGCATATTTTCTAAAAGAGACACACTCCTGTAAGTGTTTCAATTTCATTTTATAGGCAATGAGAGACATTCCTTTGATTGTTACTCGAAATAATATTTCTTTGCACAATAAAATGTTAGACATGAAAACAGAATTCACGTTATATACATGAAAATAACATTCATATGTTACGATAAACTTCTAAAATAGAATTCAAATGTAAGACTTACTATTTCCCTCGAGGTATGTTTTTTATCATTTCCGTTTACAAAAGTTGTACATATTATAACAGATACTTACGCTAGGCCATTCGCTGATATCAGAGAAAATAGAGCCGCTTTTTGTTACAAACTCCGACGCATTAACAGACGACCGGTCAACATCGTTTAATTTGCAAATGTGTTCGTTTCTGTCAAAGTCGAACGATTTACAGACGGACATTGACATACAGGTTCGCGCACAATCGTGATGGTTATTATCATTAACTTCTAACACGGAATGACGTCAAAGCTTTATTAAAAATTGTCCCTTTCTTATTTCAAAGAAAATGCATTTATTTTAGTAAACTTTTCGAAAAGACAGCGTTTTACTATATAAACCCGCGTCAAAACCCCTTGTATCAAAATAAAATTTTTTTATTATCCGCGCATATAAAATGAAATCAAACAACGACCGTATCTAAAACACAGAAAAGTCGCGTCTCTATGGTATGTTAAATGTGTGTTATGTAAACGAGTAGGTCTTCTTAAAAGCATGCCCTTGTTATTGATCTTTGGTGAATCGTCCAATTAGAAAACAGTCAAATGTTTCATCTGTTTCTCATTCAGCAAATACATAACAACCAATCATTTGATTTGGTTTACATAACAAGAACTTTCGCAAACTAATCTATTTTAAAGCATTGACACAATGTATATAGCCGTGAATAAAAATTAAATACCGGTGTAACGAAGTTGTGTGACGCCAAATTATGACAATCGGTCATTACATTTAAAACAATATTGACTTCCCGTTGAATAACATCTTACAATAGTTTGCCTCCTCAAAGAATGACCCCACCATGGTAGCCATTAGGTACATTAAAGAGATGTAAATAAAGATTTGTTTTAAAAAAAAGAATGGGGCGGACATATCTCAAAATTGCTCAACAGAATGCATACCTTATAGGTAAAAATGATTCTAGAGCTAACCATTATACATACACAAAACAACAACGACAACAATTCCGACGACAGTATCAACAACAACAAAAAACATATTTATAGGAATTGATAAAATGCAACATCAGCAATTACTTGAACATAAATTGATAATATGAATAAGGCAACGGCTCAAAACGAGCTCTTTGACATATTTTATTTTACATTTTACTTCATAATCTACATACCTAAAAATCGGAGTCAAAGGCGTCAAACTTAGGTTGCCGATCATGCTTAGAAAGTCTTGCCGATGTATATACTCAAAAAGCTCAGTTCACTTCGTTCAGTTCAAAAGGTTAAAATCGTGAGTTCGTAAAGTAGAAGTCGTGAATTCACTATTTCAACTTCATGATTTTAACTTCGTGAATTCACGATTTCAACTTCACGAATTCACAATTTCAACTTCGTGAATTCACGATTTCAACTTCATGAATTCACTTTATGAATTCGCGATTTCAACTTCACGAATAAAGTTGAAATTGTGACTTCTTGAGGTTGAACTCGAGAATTCATGTAGCTGAAATCGGGAATTCATGAAATTAAAATGCCCCCACCAGTCTTTCGTAGACATGCGTTATTAAAATGTAACTAAGTTTATGATAAAAAAACTTTCCATTCAGGAGTCGGTTTCGTTTGTAATTTTGATATTTTCCGTTTTTATAAAAAAAATATTCAGCAAGGTTTAAAGGTCCATTAAGCCCCCGAAATGGTATGATTCCTGTTTCTCAATAACTTTTAATTAAAAGGTTCTTATTGGCTGGAAGATGAACTTCTTATTGTGATCCTTTACTTCTTTAGCTCTTTACCAATTGGTAAAATTATTTAAATTGTGTATGGAAGTCAAACTACTACTTTTATATTTTGCTACATTAATGACACGAAAGTGCATGCTCAGAGCTCCTTTTGTAAGCTGAGAAGCATGTTTCATACTCTGAACCCGTTATTTAAACATTATTTAACACATGTTTGGCCTCTCTAAAGAAAAAGAAAAAAAATATACATCTAATCATCTATTGTATTTTACCCATCAACAGTTCGTATGTTTCCGTGAATTTCTTTCGTTAATTTCCGTAGGTTAAGTACTTTGCACACCATTTTCCGTACATTATCTGAGTAAGCGATACCTTTTAAGATCGATTAATCGCAATTTTTTTGTTACATATATCACTTTTAGTATACATGTGTTTAAGCTTATGCGCATGCGTGAAAAATGGTGGTTTGAAATTTCTGAGGGAAAATATTTTTAAGATTTATCGTGAATAAAAGTTTTATAAGTAGAATATTTTGGATATAAATGGATTAATTGGATAACAAACATGTGAGTTAAAATCGTAGTATGGGTGATAAGAAAAATAAGAAGAGAAAAGACAGAAACAGCAGTGGTAATGATAGAAGTAATGTAAACAATAGAAAAATATTCAAACAGAGAGGCCCTTCCGGAGAATTAAATGTTTCAGTTAGTGATGTTCTAAATCAGACAAATGCTGTACTATATGATGAAAATGCTACTAATGATGACATTCCTAGTGACACTTCTACTTTTGATATATCTGTTTTTGAATTGAAAACAAATTGCCCGGAAGTAATCGACACGATGGCGGAAAAAACAGATAAGCAACCTACTAACAGTGATATCATGGTGTGTTTAAACGGTATTTGCAAAAGACTTGATTCAGTGGAGAAAAAACTTTGTACATTAGATCATCTCGAAAAACAAGTATCAGGATTTGAAAAAGAGCTAAAAAGTATTTGGTTAGCTATAGATGAAAGAGCGAAGAAAGTTGAAGAACGTGTGTTACATTTAGAAGATAAAATGGAAAATACAGACATAAGTGCAGCTTTGCTTGCTAACAAAGTGGACGAATTAGAGAAATCACGTGACGCTGCCCGTGACGAAGTAACTTATCTTAAGTCGCAATCTATGCGCAATAATCTAATATTTACAAACATACCGGAAGATAATTCAAGTGGTAATGAATCTCAGGAAGTTACGGAGCAAAAGTTGAGAAATCATCTTCATGAGGCCTTAAAGATTTCGAAGGAGGTAGTCAACGAACTCCGTTTTGAACGTGTTCACCGATCACCCGGTCATGTATTACCAGGAAAAAAACGGACAGTTGTGGCCAAGTTCACATATTTTAAAGACCGGGAGCAGGTACGCAGGCAATGGAGAAATTTGCAAGGAACAGATTTTCAAATGTATGAACAATTCCCACAGGAAGTGATTTCTAAAAGAAGAAGACTGATTCCCAAGTTAAAGGCAGCTCGAGACGAAGGGAAAAGGGCATGGATCGCGTACGATACGCTATTTATAGACGGACGACCGATCAAAGATTAGGGATGCGACGGAGATGAACTTTCCATACTTTCATGGAATGTCCACGGACTTACAAATGATAAAAAAGTAAATAAAGATTTTGTCAATATTATAAGTAACAATGATATTTGTTTTTTTATATGAATCATGGACAAATGCTCAAAGTAATGTTTCTATTAATGGTTACGCCACTTATAACTTTTTTTCGAAAATTTCAAGATAAGAATGCGCGTAGATGCAGTGGCGGAATAGTACTTTATTATAAAGAATATTTAAAAGAAGGAATTCAAATTGTTAAGAACCATTTTGATACAATTATATGGTTGAAATTAGATCGCAATTTTTTTAATGTTGATGAAGATATATATTTGTGTGGTGTGTATATTTGGGGTGAAATTTCACCTGTATATAATACTTTTAATATAGACTTATTTGAAACGTTAGAAAATGATGTATCTAATTATGAAAATATTGGTTCTGTTTATCTTCTAGGTGACTTTAACAGTAGGGTAGGCAACAAAAATGATTTCATTGTACATGATAAAGTAAATAAAAACATTGATGACATAGATTATGAACCCGATAGTACCCCATGCAGGGCCACAATAGATAGTAAACATAACAATTATGGCATTAAACTGTTAGATTTTTGTAAATCATCATGTATACGTATTGTCAATGGCCGTATCGGGAATACTAACACTTATACTTTTTTTATCTCATAACGGCTTATCTGTGATAGACTATGTGTTATGCAATGAACGCAATTTTCCATTGGTCAGTGACTTAACTATACATCCATTTAATGAATGGAGTGATCATTCCCTTTTGACCTTGTCACTGGAATGTAATAATACACATGATAATAATGCAGATTATTCTGAGATCAAATTTAAGTGGGACAATGATCGTCGGCAACAATTTCGTTCGGGCATAATTGTAAATTTACCCGTTTTTAATACTATTGTTAATACATTAGATTGTAATAGTAGGCAGTCTGTTAATGACGCATTAAATAAATTTACAGATACAATGCGGAGTGTTGCAGATCCTCTTTTTTCATATAATTTGAAGTTTAGAAGTATTCATTACTATGATGCAGAAAAATACATGAAGCACACAGAATGGTTTGATAAAGATTGCATTGATGCACGAAACGTATATTTAGAATCATTAAAATCATTTAACTGTTGTAAAACGGATGAAAATAAAGTAATTTTGTGTAATCATAAATCTGCTTATAAATCTGTTATTACAAAGAAGAAAAATATGTTCTATAGAAAGAAAATTCAAGAAATAGAAAATTTGAAAAAGAGTAAGCCGAAAGATTTTTGGAAATATTTTAAAGTTGATAATAAAATAAATTTAGAACAATTTAGAGAATATTTTTCTTATTTAAGCAATGACTTTTTTCAGTGTTACAATGCTGAACCTGAGGAGTTTTGTGAAAATAATTATTTGACAATTACTAATGAAATTTTTACTGAATTAAACGAGCCTATTACTTGTTCTGAAATTTTATCGGCTGTTAAATCACTGAAGCGTAATAAAGCTTATGGTAATGATTGTTTATTGAACGAATATTTTATAGAAAGTATTGATATTTTATCGTCTCATATTTGTGACTTATTTAATTGTATTTTAAACTCGGGCTGTTTTCCTTATAAATGGACCGAAGGTATAATTATCCCTCTGCATAAGAAAGGGAATCAAAATGACGTTAATAATTACAGAGACATTACACTTGTAAGTTGCTTGTCAAAATTACAGTTATAAATAGACGAATCGAAAAATTTTGTAATGAACACAACACTATTTCGGATGCACAGTTCGGATTTCGTAAGGGAAGATCTACTGTAGACGCTATTTTTATTCTTAATTCATTGGTTCAGAAATATTTAAATGATAATAAAAGATTGTATGTTATATTTGTTGATATGATGAAA